CCTCTTCCTTCTTCCTCCTCCTCCTCTTCTTCCTCTTCCTTCTTCCTTCTTCCTTCTTCTCCTTCTCCTCCTTCTTCTTCCCTTCCTTGCCCCTCCCCTCCCTCTTTCCCTGCCTCCCAAATCTGCAGGAATCCTAACATTTCATACTTCCCACTCAATAATGGGTCCAACATAAACCATTTAAAATCCAGGCAACTGCCTTTTGCCTTTGGAAGATGCTATGAAACCTTTTAAACCTCACTTAAATGCCTCTGTGTCATGGCCATGTAGTTGGCACAGGGGCTGAAGCTCAAATGTAAGGCCCTGGATGCCGCAGTGTGCCTCTGCTGTCAGACCAGTGCCTCCACTCTCAGACCAGAATGGGGGTGGGGTTCTAATGAGGACCTCCAGCTTCAGTGAGAGTCCCGGCCTAAGGTGAAATGGAGTAAGATGCCTGCTGTTGAGCTCCAGCCTCTGAGAGTGTGTGCCTGCACCCCTCACACACACACATACACATGCCCACACATGCACCTGCACACACACTCCACACACACAGTGACCTCCAGCCTCTGAGAGTGTGCACCCGTATCCACACACACACACACACATGCACACACACACCACACACACACCACAGAGACCTCCAGCTTCTAAGAGTGTGCACCTGCACCCCCACACACACACATATACACACATATGCATACACACACACACCACACAGAGAAAAGAATGCCTAGGCATGGAGTTGCTGTGTTAAACAAGGTTCTCGTAGAACATACATAGCTCCCTGTCATGAGGCTCTGTTCTGTGGATCTTTACCGCTTTCTGAAAGCAGAAACATGATGCTGTGTTTTATAACTCTACGTCATACATGCACACTGCTTGGAGTTTAGCTTAGAAATCTGATTTCCCAGTCATTTGCCCTTTCATTTTGCACACACACACACACACACACACACACACACACACACACACACAGAGGAAATAGATAAAGCACTGACTGACGAGTGATTGTCCGATGAGTGGAAGTACAGGCAGAGCTGGTCTCCCAAATGCCTCGATTTCACTCTTATCTTGAATGTCATTTCTTTGTTTCCTCAATTTTTTTTGAGTTTTTATTTCATGTACATGAGTATTTTATCTGCACGTATATCTGTGTGCTGTTAGGCGTGCACATGGAGGCCCAGAGAGGGCATCAGATTCCCCAGATCTGGGGTTACAGACAGTTGTGAGCTGCCATGTGGGCACTGGGAATTGAACTCAGATCCTCTGCAAGAACAGCCTGTGCTCATAACCGCTGAGCCCTCTCTCCAGCCTCCAGAATCATTTCTCGTGACTTGGGTACTAATGGCAAAGAAATCAATGATGACCTGATCTATGTAAGAGTCTCTAACATTGGCAAGCAGGGGACTTTTATGAGATTACAGACATTAAGTAATCTCATTATCTTTTTTTGTAGCTACCACCAGAATGGCACGCCGTAGGCCTTTAAATAGGCCCGAGACACATTATGCAAGTTATTTAGGGTATTAGAAAACTATCCAGTTGTGTGTGTGTGTAGAAAATCAAAAGCAGATGTTATCTGGGGAGAAACTGGATCCAACATAATGAATTTAAACTCAAGGGCCCAGTTTCTGTGTTCTGTCTACTGTTTCTTTTTTTCTTTTAAACAAAATTTCCTAAATATGAACCTCTTTGATGAACTCACATATTTCTCAGCATATTCGTGTTGTTACAGTCTTTGATGCAGTACGAAGTTGGGATCCAGTTTTCCATCTTTGAGCTTGACGCCATCAGAATGCTTGATGTTTGATCCTAGGGGCCTGAAAATGGAGGCCCAGTTGGCAAATGTTTTGAGACCCAATTACAGCACACCCCATTCCTTCTATAACTCAGAAGAGGAAATCAAGACATCTGTTCACACGATCCAGATTCCCCACATCTATTCTTAAATAACACCAAGTGCACTGTTAAAGACAAGAGTATGAAACCAAACTTACAAAAAATGGAAAAAAAATCCAATTGTAGTTTAACTTTCCACAGGCAAAAGCTTTCCAGATCTTAGTCCTCACGCTCCATTTCATACAAGATTCACTGGTATTGGGGGACCAGACTGGCGGCATTTGTTGGCGTTTGTTTTGCAACAGTTTTAGGGATTTTGTCTGTCTGTTTGTTTGTTTGTTTGTTCTTTAGACTTTTCAAACTGGGTGTAATACAAGCATTGGGTAGACAGGAGCAGGTGGATCAAAAGTACTCGGGTAACCTGGACTACACAGTGAGATCCTATCTCTAAGTAAGTACCCGGGTAGCCTGGGCCACAGTGAGATCCTAAGTACCTGGTTAACCTGGGCCACAGTGAGATCCTATCTCTAAATACGTAAGTTAGGTACACTTAACTGTGACAAAGAGTCTTTTTTTGTGATGTATAGTCTGTCAGAACCCATCAGAACCACACTAGAAGGTTTAAATACTGTACTTCAGTGAGTGTCTATTTGCCTGATGAGTCAGGTCTTGGGCAGATCCTGCAGAAAGGCCATTCATTGGTGACAGTCTAATCCCTTTGGTTGGTTAGTGGTACTTATTTTAAAAATTGGGAATGGGTGGGTGAGTAGTGACTATTCAGGTTTTAATTTCCTAACTGTCCAAGTCTGTGAAGACATAAAATAGGTCAGCCATACAGTTAAAGTCACTTTCCCCCTTTAAAATACCATCGTATCACATATTGCGACTTCCTCTGACTGACCACTGTGTTGGTAGGATTTCAAGGTCCACCTGAACAGCTAACCTCTCTTTCCTCTCCAGCCGTGGCTTTATGTAACCCACATGCCTGTCCCAGCCATTTCCTCTCTGCTTCCTGATTCTGCTGTCCCCTGATTTCTCTGTACATGACTGTCACACCAAGGAGAAACCAGACTGGGCTCACTGGCTGCCAGAGAACCAATAGCTAACAGGCATTCCTTGGAACGGGCACCGTCAGCGCTTATGTCAGTTGAGAACCTGGGAGGGATCGTTCATAAATTAAGAGAGCAATGTGTTATCTCTTGTCAGACAACTGAGCATTTACGAGGGGGGTGGCTGGCACACAGCGAGCCGTGTAGGACAGGAGACTGCTATGCATGTGGTTGGCAGGATGTCCCAGCGGCAGTCCCGGCTCCCACTTCACCTTCCTTCAGCATGCTTCACATTCAACTTTGCAACTAACTATTTTAATCTCTCTTCCCCTCAGTGGGTAAACTCCATAAGGGAAGGGAATTTTCTGTCATTCACTACCACATGTGGATAGTTGAAAAAAGACCAAACACTCCCTGAAAGTCGGTTAGAAGAATGAGCACCCGAGTAAAAGCAAGACATGGACACAGAATTTTTTTCCCCTTTGGGTTTTGGAGACAGGGTTTCTCTGTGTAGCCCTGGCTGTCCTAGAACTCAGTATGTAGACCAGACTGAGCTCAAACTCAGAGATTTCCCTGCCTCTACCTCCCAAGTGCTGGGATTAAAGGCATGCCCTACCACCCAGGAACATAAAAACGAAACTCTTAAAGAATCTAAACATGCCAGGAAATTAACCCCTATTTTGTTAACAAAGTTTATGTCAGTGGGTACAAGGATGCCAGAAGAAAACAAGGTACAATTATTAATCGTGTAGAACTACAGGAAGCTCAACAATACAGGAATAGTTACACACACACACATGTGTGCACACATGCACATACATGCACACTCACATCCACACACATGTGCATATCCACACATACCTGTGCACATCCATTTACATGTGTGCACACACACATTGGCATATACATGTACATATATGTACTTGCAGGTACACACACACACGTGCACTCATAAGCATGCACACTAGTACATTTCAGTAGTTACTTAGGAGGAGTCGGGTAAGGATGTGACTTGGAGGTAGAGTGCTTGTATAGCATGCAATAGCCCCCAACACTGCAAAAAGAAGGGAAAAGAAAGGGGGGAGATATTAGAAAGAGGGGGAAAAGGAGAAGGAGGAGAGAGAGAGAAGGAGGGAAAGGAGAGAGGGAGGGAGGGAGGGAGGGAGAGAGGGAGAGAGAGAGAGAGAGAGAGAGAGAGAGAGAGAGAGAGAGAGAGCATATTCTAGAATTCTGAATTCAAAGTCTAGTGGTGCAGGCAACATTTCTGAAGTATTTGTCAAGGCCACCTTGAGCTTCAGGGAGGAGAGTGTGTATGTCTGTTCAAGGCTTATTAGGAAGAGGCTCTGGAGTTGGGTGGTGTGCTGACAAGGGCCAGCCTCTCCGTGCTGAACACACGTGCTAAAGACTCTGAGAGAAGAGTCAATATCACCATCTAAGGCAAGCCTGAACAAATCACGGCCTACTTTTGTGGCCCAAGTCTAAGGATGGTTTTTACGATTTCAAGGGTCATGCAAAAGAAAACAAGGCGTTTACTCCATCAATGGGGCCCACTCAGCCTGAGAGATGCTCCCTAGGCTTTTATAGAAAACAACAACTTGCTTTAAACTTGGTCCAAACTGGTTTTAAAGCCCAAAGTCAACTTCTACTTGTGTTGTGATTCCTTGTGTGGAATCGAAGGCACATGGAGTGATCACGAACCAAATAAGAGGAGGCACAGCATCAGGCTAAAGGTTGCCTCTTTGCCTTTGAAAGTCGGCTAAGCAGAGGCCCCGAGCTCGCCTTTGCTAGTGACCCTTGCAAGACCAGAAGACAAGGATGCTAATGACAATCTTCCCTGAAAGGGATTGTTCCTGACCAAATAAGGACTCGAGATGCTGAAAGAGGCCACTAAGAAATAGTTACTAGGGTACTAATCAAATGTATTAGCAGAATGTATTAGCAGGAGAGCTTTGGTTGTTCACAGTGAATAAAGAATAGAGAGATAGAACTCTGATGTTGAAAATGAAAGACAGATGTGTTCATGCTGGCCGCTTGCTTTGTTTCTTTGAGACGATTCTTTTGGTGGGTGTTTCTGCGGCCCTCGACCATGATGGCCGTCCTAACACGTTGATACTACTCTCTCCCGAAGCCGAAAGATGATATTTATCCTCTGCTTCACCCAACTATGCACTGCTGGACTCCGTCAAGCGACCTGTACGTCGGGTGTGAAGAGGGTCACCTTCTGATGATTAACACAGAAACCTTGAAGGTTACCGTGCTCCAGAAGGCAGAGGAGTTTCCACTACCTGGTAAGAAACTGCTCTGCTCCAGAGTCCAGAAGTACAGCTGTGGGGTTAGCTTTGTATATCCTTCAAGATGGTGGTTTGGGGGTCCCTGATTTTCCCCCTTTCTTAGAGATATCCTAGGGCTTCCTTAAGTTTGATTCTCTGTTAGCAAGTCCTGTGGATACACCTTGTGGCTACTCACTGTTTACAAAGTGTTAATCAGATCCTGGTGTGAGGATACCAAAAGATGTCACTTTAATATATTCACGTCACACCACAAGAAGATACACCTGTACCTTCACAACACACAAGATTTACAGAACACCCTCAACTTCATGGGCCAGTAAAACATCTCAGCAAGTTAAGGTACTTGCCAGCAATCCAGGCTTGATCCCCAGAATCCCCACAGGCAGATGGAGAGAACCTCCTGAGTTCCACATACAAACTGTCGCACGTGTACCCTCCCCTCCCACCACACATAATCTCAAAACAAACAAGCTCAGATTCTTGTGAGGGTGGGGCTGACACCAGAGTCTGGGGAATGAGGGAGGCCTCGGACTCCCAAGTTTTGATCTCCGCTCCGGTAACCTTCTCTATTCCGCTGAGTCAGCTGATCATGTCCCTTTCTGTCCCCATTCCCTTTCAAGCCCCCTTTCTGTGACAGTTACCCCTTTTAGTGTGCCATGCCTCAAGCCCTCTTTTGTGTCGTTTATTTCAAGGAGGACCTTATCGGCTCTCCCTTATTTCCAGTATCCATTCTTGGTTCCATCAGACATGGCCAATGTAAGGCCTGGACCACAGGAACCCAACCCTGCCCAAGAATGGGCTCTGGAGAGGGATCTTCTCCAGAGCCAGCTACTCAAACCTGCATCCTAAACTCTCCAGGTCGTCTTTCCACACGTTGATTTTTGCAACAAACCTTCTGACGTGAATCTACATCCAATCCAAAGCAAGCAGCTTGCTAAGGTCAAATTGCTCATGCTTAACACCCAACTTGGGGGTCTCTGCTGTCCTGAGGTCCTGACTCCTGCCTCTGACATCATTTTCCATTGGCCCCAGGATGAGTCTTTACTAAGCATTGTTCTTTGCTGGCGATTCACAGATCTGCCTCCTGACTCATTTTCTTGCCTCTCTTCCTCTCCATCTCACCCAGGTTCTGACTCACTCCCTCTTGCAAATGTTCCATAACCTCAGTATCTTTCATGCAATCCCTCTCCCAGTCTCCCATACTCACTTCCTTGGCAAAGCATTTCCACACACTCCTTTGTGTTGTGACTGGCCTCCAGCCCTGTTCCTCTCTGCAGAGAATCTACAGCGCTGTTACCTGGACGCTTTCCAAGAGCAAGCCTCTGTCAGCTCCTTCCCTTAGGGCCTCCATTTGAACTTGTTAAAACTTCTTTTTTATCATTCCTGTACTCTCTTGCTGCCTTTTAAGGTTACCTTTGTGAGGTATATCCATTTCCTTCTTGTCCGCTTCTGTGTGGAACCTTACCCAGCCCCACCTCGACCTTCAGATGGATTAGGTGCCCACACTAGAACACTGTGTGCTCCATGACTCAACTGGAGCCTCACCCTGAGCTAGCACAGTGGCCTCAAACCTCTCTCCTCTACTGCTTATCAGTTGTTTGACTCTGTTTAATCTTAGTACAGAATCACATGGCCTCTGCAAGCACTTGCAGAATGAACTATATAACAAATGCCTCTCCTTCAGAATACCCATCACATTTCCAATGTATTTTACACAACTGGGCTTAATCACTGTTCACAATTTCTTTCCTGTATACTCTTTTTTGCAGTTGTATTATAAATGCTTTTAAATACGCATTTATCAGTTGGGTGTGGTGGCACAAGAGTCTGTAACCACAGCTCTCAGGAGGCTGAGGCAGGTGGATTAGGCATTTGAAACCAGCCTGGACTACACACACACACACACACACACACACACACACACTTTTTGAAGACAAATGCATGTTTTTCAAGTGCCATCAAAATGTGGAAGGGAGTGGCCAAGAGACAACAGAGATAACCTATATAAAAACAAGTACAATGTCACATCATTTCCATCCTCTAGGGACATTGATATTATTAAATACAGGTTGACAAATAGCCTTAGCCTCAGTCTGAGAGTATAAAGACATCTCCTAAGTGAGGATGTAGACAATCAGAAGTGTGCTTTGGCAGATTAATTTGGCCATGGTTAAGGGAGGGAGATCTTTACAATAGGTGTAAGCAGCCTCTTTTCCAGGCCTGGATTCTCACAACTCCAGGAGCAGCTGTATTTCAAATGTTATCCCTTTTCCTGGTTCCCCCTCCCCCAAACGTCCTATCCCATCCTCCCTCCCCCTGCTTCTCTGAAGGTGTTCCCCTACCTACCCACCCACTTCCACCTCCCCACCCTAGCATTCCCCTACACTGGGTCATCTAACCTTCAGACCAAGGACCTCTCCTCCCATTGAGGCACGACAAGGCCATCCTCTGCTACATATGTGGCTGGAACCATGGGTCCCTCTATGTGTACTTTTGGTTGGTGGTTTAGTCCGTGGGAGCTCTGGGGGGCCTGGTTGGTTGATATTGTTGCAAACCCCTTTAGCTCCTTCAGTCCTTTCTCTAACTCCTCCACTGGGGGTCCTGTGCTCAATCCAATGATTGGCTGTGAGCATCTGCCTCTGTATTTGTCAGGCTCTGGCAGAGCACCTCAGGAGACAGTCAGAGTCAGAAAGCACTTCTTGGCATCCACAATAGTGCCTGCGTTTGGTGGTGACTGTATATGGGATGGATCCCCAGGTGGGGCAGTCTCTTGCCAGTCTTTCCTTCAGTCTCTGCTCCACACTAAACCGAGTCCATGTTGGGTGCTCTAGACCTCCAGTGCAGCTTGCCTCCTTTCTATGGCCACTCGTCCCCGTACAGCTCTTGCTGCCTCGTGCGCGTTGCTGCTCTTTTGATGACGTCATCTACATTCTCTTGTTTGTTCTTTTCCCAAAGATGGAGCCCAGCTGATCAACCCGCTCACACTGGCATACCAAAAGGACGGCGTACTTGCTTCTGGAATTGTAATGTATTCCATTGCTCGGAATCCCTCACTTCATAAAAAAAAAGCAGCCCCCCCCCCCCCCGCCACCATTTTTGTCCTTGAGCCATATCCTGTCCTGTCGGGTTCTTTCAGATTAGCAATTCCAACAGTTTCCTTGTTGAATGCTATGATAAAAAGTTTACTAGGGCAACTTCCCACTACATGCAAAAGAAAAGAAAAAAAGAAGACAGGTAATGAATGATCGTGTCCGTGTTGTTGCAAACAAACAAAAGTGGGCTTTAGAAACTTGCTGCCGTCCCTCCTACCAGGGGGGAGAACACCCAATTGTCTTCACCCCAGCCCGTGCCTGTTTCTACGGTAATGAATTAGGCTGTCAGAAATGAACTTGGATCTTTTGTCTGTTAGAGCGGATAAGGAAATTCAGTATTACCCGTCTCCATTCACTTGAGCAGATGGGGCTAGCCACAGGTTGTACCAGGCACCATTCAGAGTGTATTATTAACCCTCACAACTTGGTCAGGTAGAAGTCTGACATGCTCCCCATACCAGTGAAAGTACCATGTCTCATGACAGTCATTGGAAAGTGAACCTGGGACGTCACACCCCAGGGACTAAGCTTTTATCCTCTAGAGCACACATTTCCAGGAAGTTTCAAGCGGGGGGCAGACCACACGTCTCCACGTGGCTGCGATCCGTGCCATCAAGGTTAAGATTGGTGACAGCATTACATCAAAACCTCAGGTCTCGGTGAAGCTGTCCCTAGTCAACTGTCATCTTTGTCTGTCAGTCTCACTGCCATTGGTCTTCCTGAGTCCAGTGAGGCGGTGACATCAGGATGGAAGATTCCATCATTGGGATGAACTCGGTTCCATCAAGCAGAAGCTACCGTGAGCCTCTAAGCTTACCCTCCACTTGTATTTTCCTTCCTGGAGTTTTCAAGAGAAAAGCTCCTCCCATGTCTTACGTTTAGTCTGCACTTGTGACCTTTAAGGTTCTCGTCTGTGCTAATGAGGGATGGAGAATGGTCAGGAGCTTGAGGAAAGCACCAAAAGAAGTCACATTTCTTAGATGCCTGATTTAGTTCCAGTGGGGTTCCATGTAGCGAGTGATGGCTACCTCCCCCATCCCAGCCTCTTAACTATTGTAGAAATAACTCCCATTCCACTTGAGACTCATTTGATTAAGTCTATTTCTCAGCATCCAGCTGGCCAGCCCATTTTTATTGAACATCTGCCTTGTTCTAGCACTGTATCAGGGGCTGGAGAAGAGACCATGACATAAATAAAAAGCACAACTCTACTTTGGTGTCACACAGGTGGCTAAAGAATTTACATAATAATGGTCTAAAAACACACTGAAGACTAATAACCTTTTATTTTTTTAAATATTATTTATCTAATGTATATGTGTACACTATAGCTGTCTTCAGACACACCAGAAGAGGGCATCAGATCCTATTACAGATGGTTGTGAGCCACCATGTGGTTGCTGGGAATTGAACTCACAACCTCTGGAAGAGCAGTCGGTGCTCTTAACTGCTGAACCATCTCTCCAGCCCTCTTTTAAATGAGGACAGTTAGCACTCAAGCCATACAAACCCTGCCTCCTTTGTCCTGCTTTCTGCATAATGAACTACATGGTTAAAAGCAGTCTGAGTTAAAGGTAACAGCATTCCAGGTGTAGACAGATTCGGAGTCTCACACAGGAGCAGTCCATGAGCCTCGACTTGTCTGACGTCAAACGTGCTCTATACTTTGGCAAACACCGACTTTGTGTCTGTCTCACTGTGTTCGGTCTGCAGGATGGTGTGATATACTCCTTCATCATCAAAGATTCAAAGTACCAAGTGAAGACCTTTCTTGAGTTTGATGGGCCAGTGGCACATCTGGTGTTCTCTCCTAGTTACAAAATGCTGCTGATTCAAACAGACAAGGTATGTTAGATAGAGATTTCTTGATACACAATCTTCAGACACCATCAGTGCATGATGGGAAAAAAGAAAGGGTCATGTATGGGTAATGATTCTCTTCACATCAGCACTTTCTCTACTGCACATGGAAAGCACCTTGAACAAAGGCCTAAATTAAAAGTAGATGCTTGACACTACATACACCCCAACAGAGGAGGGCGAGAGTTCAAATCCAGGGTCTTCCATGACCCACCCCAGAGGGCTCGCCTTCCATGTCTCTTGGCTCTGTTTCCCCTTTGCTGCCTCTATTTTCTTGCAAACTTTCCCCTTCTGGTACTTAGAGCCTTCCGCTACTCCTGCTTATATTTCTGTTCTATTGGTAACTTTGGAAGAAAGTCACCAACGATAAAATAAAAATGTCCTGAAATTGATGCAGTGTATTAACTTGGTCACCCAGCCACCTGTATTGGCCAGGCCAATCAGATATCTACCCTTGCAGTTTGTTTATACTCAGCCTACCCAGATATGAATTCTGTATGAAAAGAAGGTTGAAGAATCAATGCATAGTTAAACAATGACTCTCTGAGCTATACAGTTAGGAAGACCCCCTGGTTAATAAAATGACTCCCAGATGTCAAGATTAGCAGTCATTTTATTGGTAGGCAAGAACGGTGGGCACATTGCAAATAAAATTAAATATTTTGGTTTTATATATGGAAAGTCTTAAGTTTCTGGTAATTACCAGAAGTCAAAACAATGGTACTTTGTTTTATAAATAAATGGGAAAACTAAAAGATATCTGTTGCAAAGAAGAAACTATATTTTGAAAGTATCCTAATAGAAAAAGAAAACAGCCAAACAAAACTACTAAAACACACACACAAAAAAAAAAAAACATAACTAAGGAGACACTAAATGAACATACCTGGGGGCTGCTGAGGTGGCTCATAGTTAAGAGCACCCGTTGCTCTTCCAGAAGGCCCATGATGGATTCCCAACACCCACACAGCAGCTCACAACCATCTGTAACCCCATTCCCAGGATGTCAGATCTCTCTGCTGGGCTCCATGAGAACCGGGCATGCATGTGGCACATGGACACACATGTAGGCGCAACACTCATGCACATGAAATAAAAACGGCACCAGCCACTCAAGCAGTGCACACACATGTATGTAGACAAAACACCCATTTCTTCAAAAAGGTTAAAAAGTTAAATGAACATACTTGACATGGAAGATAGATGAAGAAGTTATTAAGAATGCTGCCGGGAAAACCAGAATGGAAGGAAGAGCAGAAGGAAGGATAAGAGGTGTGAATTACGCACCGACAAAACCTAGCATGTTGGACTGAAATCCTAGAGACGTAGGCAGAGGCAAGGCTTCAGAGGATACCACCTCACAGAACTGATTAAATAAAGTCCGCAGATATAAGAGGCAGTATAAGTCCCAGGGGGAGCAGCATGGCACCCACACTTATAGTTCCCAAGACGAATCCTTTGAAAAACAGACATAGCCTTTTTCAGAAGTTACATGAGTTAAGAAGAGGAAAAATACTCTGAATACATGCTCAGACACTCTAACACCGGAGTGTACCAGCAGCAGGCTATTATTACCTGAGAAAACACTTTAAAACTGTCCTTTGGTCCGGGCAATGGTGGTGCACGCCTTTAATCCTAGCACTTGGGAGGCAGAGGTAGGCAGATTTCTGTGTTCGAGGCCAGCCTGGTCTACAGAGTGAGTTCCAGGACAGCCAGGGCTATACAGAGAAACCCTGTCTTGAAAAATAAAAACAAAACAAAAACAAAAAAAGTACTTCTGTAGGGCCCAGGGGGAAAGATGCCAACTAGAAGGCCGGAAAAAAATCCAAAGAAGCAAACCTTTTGCTGTGAAGCAAAAGCTTCAAGGTCCAGGGAGATGGCAGCAAATGAGTGACCGTGTGTATCATTCAGGCGCAAACGGGAAGGAATCTAGTGGTGCTCTGTTGACATCAGAGGAATACATCCTCATGGTGAAAGTCATACAGAAATAAAATCCCTTGTTTTCAGATGACAGAATATGAAATTTGTGACATTTTAATAGTCTTCTCTACATGTCTGGTGGAGTGAACTATGTAGTCTCAGCCTGTATGAGGGAATGAATAATGTATCTTTTGGCATAGCAGCCGATACAAACTGAACATTTATCTCAACCACTCAGAGCCCAAGGTGCCGTCTCATTGGGACTAAAAGCCCAAAGCACCATGCCTTCAATGACCCTTCACAGCGTAGGTTCTGTACCCCATCCCTGGTCTCTCTCCCACACGCGTGTCTCTTGCTGTACCTGCTCATTTGTCGAGTCTTACCCTCACTTAAATCAACAAATAAGATTTCTATATTTTAAGGTCCTCTGGGACTTTGTTTAAGTCTGTGATTTCCCTTCACCTGGTCCCAAACAGTGTGTTGCACACAGTGGCCGCTAAACAAGTATTTGGTGACTTAATGACATGTGCCATAAAAATGTTTTCTTTCTTTGTGTGGCCTTTTTAGGGGTCTGTTTATATCTACACGTTTGGTGCAGAGCCGGTTCTCGATAAAGTGCTTGATGCCTGTGATGGGAAAGTCCAGGCCGTCAGCTTCATCACACCTGGGACCAAATACTTCCTGGTGAGAGACAGTGTACTGGGTGGGACATGGTGGGATTCAAGTTGTATTTCAAGGTTTAAATTCCCATCCATATGTATTGGGGTATCTTTAGACCAACCCTTTGAAAAGCCAAATTTTTCAAAATCACCTTCAAAGAAAGAGATACGCTGAAAGCCCTATATCAAAGAAGTTGGGTTAATAATAACACTCCAAAAACGGGAGTTCCAGGCCCCAAAACAGGAGTCCCAGGCTGGGATGGGTTGTCTGGTGAATTCCATTAAACATTTAAGGAAAAAAAAATAATACCAATTTTCCACAATACCATTTTAAAGTTAGAAGCAGAAGGAATCCTTCCCGGCTCCTTCTCTGATGCCATTCTCTGAGCTAAGCTAGACAAAACACAAGAAAAGGAAACTGCAAACAGCACCTCCCCTGACGCAGACAAGACACCCTCTGTTAAATGCTAGCAACACACAAGAACAATTACAAGCCTTAACCGAGCGTGATTTATTTCCGCATATGCAGTACTGAAACTGATTCCACATTAGCCAGCCAATGAATGTAATCCACCGTAATACAACTCAACAACATCTGTTACCTGCTTCTAATAAAAACACTCGGAAAACAGAGTAGAGCTGCTCACCGTAGTAGGAATAGCTACAAAATGCCTAATTCCTCATCAATATCACTCTGGAAGTCTGAGCTCATACAGTAAGTTTGTTTTTGTTTGTTTGTTTGGGTTTTTTTTGTAAAAGGTATACAGATTGGAAAGAAATAAAGCAGCCTCTGTTCTCTGGTGTCAAAATTGACATCATTAAAAAAAAAAAATCACAATCGCATCAGCAAACGCCCCTAGTGTTGGGGTGACCGTGGCAAAGGTGTAGGACAAACGGTTAAAACACAAAACATGAATTGTTTTCTTACATTACCAGTAGTGAGCAATTGCAATTTCAAATTAAAAATACTTCTTCCAGTCGCACCAACAAACCGAACTAGGTATACATAACCAAAGAGAAGTGGGGGCTCCATGGGTAAAGCCATAAAACTAGCGAAGGAACTAAAACGGTTATCTCTCCCCCAAAAGTCTTTATTGACCCAATTACATGTTAAATCACAAAGTATTCCACTTTTCCTTCAAGATGAGGTATCTATCTGTAGACGAGGCTGGTCTTGAACTCTGATATCTGCCTGGCTCTGCTTCCAAGTGCAGGTATTAAAGGCTGTCCGGCTAAATATTAGCCAAAAACTTCTGCTTGCTTCCAGGGCGGGGTTCTTTCACTGCATTTTTCCAACCTAGTGTAGACCAAATCATAGATGACGGCCCCTTCATTAGTTACATGGCTCTTTAAAAAAAAATGAAAGAAATCTAAATACTTAGCAATGCTAGAACTGCCCAGAGGCATCTCTAATCCCCTCCCCTTTTTTAAAAAAAAAGATTTATTTATTTATCTTATGTATGTGAGTACACTGTGTTCAGACACACTAGAAGAGTGCATTAGATCCCATTACAGATGGTTGTGAGCCACCATGTGGTTGCTGGGAATTGAACTCACAACCTCTGGAAGAACAGTCAGTGCTCTTAACCACTGAGCCATCTCTCCAGCCCTGGCATCTCTAATCCTTAAGTAATCCCATTTTTCAAAGAGCCCAGGCATGTGTGCATCAGGCCCCATGCTCTGTAGTACTAAGGTCATCTTCAGCACACTCTTCCTCCTTCACGGTCTCCAAGACCAGCATCAATATACGATGGGAAAGGGAACCAGAGGGTTAAAACGATGACCTTAATCTATGGCAAGCTGTCACCCTGACATGGATAACAAGCTGAAGTTTTATTGAAATGTCGCCTCTCCCGAAACTGAGCTCAGACTTAGTCTAAGTTCAGCCGAAATATCAATGATATTTTGGAAAAAAATGATTGAATATAAAATTTGTGTGGCAACACAAAAACAATCAATATCCTATGGAAGGAGGCATCAGCGAGGTATTGAGAAATAAATATGGCCAAGCCGATGCTACAGTAATAAAGACTGGTGCTGGTGAGAGAATAAAATAATAGATAACTGTAATAGAGAACAGAGCCCGCAGATAAACTCACGGGAATATAATCAAACAATCTTTTGGAGTTTTAAGCTTTCTTTTGAGAAAGGATCTTGCTGAGCTGCGCAGGCTGGCCTTGAACTTACAGACTTCATTCCTCCACTCCCCAAAGTTCTAGGATTCTAGGTAAGTACTACCGCCACGCCTAGCACAGTAAACTGACATGTGACAAAGTAGCAAGGACAATTCAGCGAAAGTACTATCTTCTTTTCATCAAATGGTGCTGGAACGACTAATTCCTGCATGAGTGTAACTTTCCACATGCGCACCCACCGTGACAGGTGCAGACTCACGCGTACGAACACAAATGGAAGCCAAATATTTTGAACCTGGATGCAAACTGTATACATTCCAAAAAAAAAAAAAAATCAAAACTGATTGTAGAGAACTGTAAAAACAAAATTATAAAGTTATTAAAAGACGATGATAAAAATCCAAGTTCTCTTGGGCTTAATGGTAAAGTCTAACTCCAGTACCAAATACAACCTGCGGAGACGGATAAATCAGCGGGAAACATTTGACTGGAACCTCTGCTCTGTGAAACACCTCCAGAGTAGAAAGCCCTAAGCATATCCTCTGCTAAGAGAAGAAAAAGGCAAACCACAGACTCTGCAGGAGGTGTAGCTGACAAAGGACAGGGGACCCAGATCTGCAGAAAGCATGGGGGATTCAAGAATAAGAAAGTGAACGATCTCAGAAATAAGGGGGAGGGGGAGTATGAATAGACTCCACACAAAGAAGGCATATGGACAGAAAATAAGTATATGAAAAGATGCTGTAGACATGTGTCCTTAGGAAATTGTGGCTGAGATGCCCCTGGCTTTTTAGAACGTCTCAGATCTAAAGGGTTGGCAGTAACAGAGGCTGCAGTAGAGCAGCCGAAGCTCGAAGTGCTCGTCTGTTAAACAGAGGTATGGCCAATTTGGAAGATGGTTCGTCAGCTTCTTTTAAAACCAAACAGTCGCCATATGCTCCGGCGGTTATAATCCTTAGTATTTATCCAAGTGGGCTGGAAAACATAATGCTGTCCAATGAGCTGCCTGTAATGTTTCAGCAGCATTGTTCATAACGGCCCAAGCTTGGAAAACGGCTGAGTTGTCCATCCATCCTCAGTGAACGCAGAGACCGTGGCACAGTCATGCGGTGTGCCCTTGGTCAGTAAGAAAAACGAAATGAAGCTGTCAGGCCACCACAAGACTGGGACGGATCGTAAATGCACAGTGCTAAGTGACGGAAGCCAGTGTGGAAAAGCCTACATGCTGTGTGAATCTAACAGAATATTCTGGAATAGGCAAAGCCAGTAAAACAGATGAGTGGTTGTCAGGGGCATGGGGAGGGAGGCAGGAACGGACAAGAGGAGATTTTTAAGGCGGAGAAACTGTGCATGTGTGTCACTACAAACTCATCAAAATGATCAGAATGAGCAACACAGAGATCAAAGGAGCCCCAATGTAAATATAGACGTTAGCCAGTAGCTGTGTCAGTGTGGACTTAGATGCTGTAGCCCGTGTCCAGAGCTGGTGCAAGCTGCTAACAGTGGAGAACTGTGGGAGGTGTTGGGGGGGCATCTATTGTACTTTCTGCTCCAAAACCTCTACAGTCCTAAAAATGTTCTAAAAGTAAAATGATTTTAAAACAGCAATATATAATTTCCCGTCTCTAGGCTTCGTCATTATCATTGGGTGATAATCCCATTGAATTTCTAGGGGCTTTTTCTGTGAAGTATGACTGTGGGGGAGTGTTTATTTTTGTGTGTGTGTGGGTGTTTTTCCTGCATGTATGATTGTGCACACCTATGTGCTTGGTGCATACAGAAGCCAAAGAGTGCATCAGATCCCCTGGAACTGGAGTGCAGAGGGTTGTAAACTGCCCTGTGGACACTGGGAATCAAGCCTTAGTTCTCTAGAAGAGCAGATGGTGTTCTGAACCATTGGGCTGTTTGTATGTCTAGTCTCTCACTTCACTGTTCCTAAGTTATTACATTACTTAAATCCTTTTCAAGATAATCCATTTTATTTCTTAGTTTTTGGTTGCTTGTTTGTTTTGTTTTGTTTTGTTTTGTTTTGTTTTGGAGACAGGATTTCCTCTGTAGCCCTGGCTGTCCTGGAACTTGCTCTGTAGATCAGGCTGGCCTTAAACTCACAAAGATCTTTCTCTGCCTCCCAAATGCTGGGATTAAAGGCATGTGCTACCACTGCCTGGCTATGTTTTACATCTTTATTATTTATTATGCATTGTGTGTGTGTGTGTGTGTGTGTGTGTGTGTGTGTGTGTGAGTGAGAGAGAGAGAGGGGGGGGGGATTAACTTGGGGGAGTTGGTTCTCTTTATCTACCACCTGGATCAAATTCAGGTCGTCAGGTTTGGTAGCAAGTGCCTTTACCCACTGACTGTATCTATACTTTGTAGCCCTGACCGGCAGGGAACTCAGCATATAGACCAGGTTGGCTTCAAACTCACAGTGACCCTTGTCCTCTGCCTCCTACATGCTAAAGATCATTGTTTTAAAAAAACATAGAAGCAGCCCAGGTGTGATAGTTTGAGCCTGCAACCCTAACACAATTAATCCTGCCACAATGTAATCCTTCAGAAAAGAAGAGTGGTGTTGAATGTATAAATGGCTAATAACCTATAGAAACAGTGTAGCTTCTCATCACCCCCCAGGTGAGCATGCTAGCCGATCATCACCCGCTTCCATAGCAGGGTCTAACCATCCATTCAGTGTACCTGTCTTCCTCTTACAGACCCTCACAAGTTCGGGGGAAGTTTCCATTTTATCGATAGAAGACTGTACTTGTACAGGCAGGATTTGCCTGAGGACTCAGGTAAGTGTGCCTGAGAAATCTTTCCGCCTCTGCTCGCCTTTCAGTGTTCACATCCAGCAGTTTTTGGAAATCCTCCCTACTGTGTTGGTTCACAGACAGAAGTAGAGTTTAAGAAGTCCTGATTTAGTCATACCCACCTGGCACAGTGCCAAGCTCACGTCATGGTACCAGAGAAGGGAACCAGAGGCCTCAAAGAGTATCTCCTAATGGAGCAATCCCCGTGAATAAGAGGACAGTCGATGCTACTTGACAAAAGCTCAGCCCTTAAAGAGGGATCCCTCTGAGGGACCCTCTCTGAGCCCTAAAAATAATGGGACGGGGGTTTCTCAGTGGGTATCCAAGGCTTTCATAGAAGGATGACGTCTGGGTGCAAACACCCATGACATCTTTCTCAATATGCCATTGCCTCTGCATAATCCACAATACATTCTGCACAAAATAATGTAAAAAAAAAACCTGTAAAGACCTAAACAGTAATAGTGCTGGATTTTTTTTTCCTTTGCACCTTAGAAGGTAGGGAAATTGCAGTCCTTCTCTCCCACAAATTAAAAATCTCAATCATAAAATACTTATACCAATTATAAAAGGCATGACACTAAGCAAGTACCGTGCCATATAATATAACAAGTTGCAAAATATAAATGGGACCTTCCCGAAAAGTAACAATATAAAGTCTTGTCTAAAAGGCCACAAAATATGTAACACCACATAATCTGTATGACAAAGGCTTGTATGTATCAATTTCTATTAGAATTTCTAGAACTAAACAGTTATCACATACCCATTAGACTTATCTGAGATCAGGTCTCTGAAAACAAGAGGCAAGTGTGTAACAAAAACCCCAGGGGACTGTATAACCAGGACTTAACCAGTTCCCCTTGGACAAGGCCAGAATACAGTCACTGTCTGGGCCAGCCTTCACTGAGCTCCAAACCAGGCCTGATACATGGTTGTGGTCCAGCCTGTGCTTGGAGACACATGAGTCTTTCTTTATGGTGGATCCCACTGCACTTCAGGGAAACGATCATTGGACAGACCCAGTGATGCTGAGGGCAAATATCTCTGCCTCTGCTGTAGTTGCTCTCTGTGAACACTAGAGGCAGTGCTCTCAAGGAGGTCAACCTAGCACCCACAGTGCTACAGCTTCACTTGACTAAGATGACATAAGCCTCGCTTGGCTACTGCTACTTAAGAGTAGCTCACTATAGCTCTAGAGAAGAGAATTTTAATTGATAATTGGGGAAGCATCACACAACGCACGCACACGCACACGCACACGCACACGCACACGCACACGCACACGCACACGCACACGCACACGCACACGCAC